TCGAATGGGGCTCTCGTTCGAGATTTATTCGAGCCACGTTCAGACGGGTTGCGTTCTGCGACGCGGGCTCCGATGGCATGTGTCTGTTGTCGGGAAGCCGCGTTTCGTTGCATCTGTCCATGGACTTTTTGGATCCGACCCGCGAAACCGCGCGGCGAAACTTGGCATTCCACATTGCGGAGGTGGACCCAGAGTGGAGGTGCGCAAGTTCCGGGAGGGTTTGGGCAGTCTTCTGCGATGTGGGCTCGACGGAGGTTCGGCTTGCATTCGACGCGGACTCGGCGCGGATCACTGCGCGACTGGACAGAGAAGGTCCCCCGAACGATTCAACAGGCGACCTGGAGAGCGGGCGGGCCCGCAGTTCCCCATCAGCGAGCTACATATCAGAGTGAGGGGGCCGAACGGTCATTCATTGTCCCTAGGTGCGCGGTTGAAGTGAGAATCCGTGGTGAGGATTTTCAGCGTCCCTGGGCGCGTGGCTGAAGTGAGAAACCGTGGTGCGGATTATGAGAGCGCGCCAGTGGATGGCCCTGAATTCACAGGAGGGGGTGACGCTCGCAGAACCCACCTCCCTTTCAAAGGGGGGGTGAGATTTTCGCCCCCCCCCCCCCCCCCCCGTTCCCCCCTTTAGGGGCAGGGGGTGGTCCGAGCCCCCCCTCCCGCCCCTTGGGGGAGGCGGGGCCCGGCCCCCCCCCCCCTCCCCCTTGGCGCTGGGAAGCGGGGGTTCGAACCCCTCCCCGCCCCCCTCTGCGCTGAACAGGGAGGGGGCGTCTCGGGTAGCGAGTAGAGAGTAAAGTTTTTTGAGTAGCGATTGGTGAGGAGTGGGTATTTGATAGTGGGTCGTGCGCAGTGAGGTGTGAGTAGTGGGTAATGTGTAGTGGCAGTAGTGAGTAGTGCGTAGTGGTTAGTGAGTAGTCGGTATGGTGAGCAGTGGTTAGTGAGTAGCGGGAATGGCCAGAGGAGAAGGAGGAGGAGGAGGAGGAGGAGGAGGGGGAGGAGGAGGAGGAGGAGGAGGAGGAGGAGGTGAGAGTTGCGAGGGTGTCTCAGGCGAAAATGGCTTGACGGCCCGAGCTCAGGGAATCTCGGAATCGCTGGCCTGGCTCGGCCACTGGCGAGCCCGGCCTGTGCGAATACTGTGCGTACCTGTGCGGGGCATGTAAGGAACGTGCAAGAATGCCGGGGCCGGCGCTCGTCTCGGGATTCCAAGATGCTCTGGCCCATGGTTGGTTGGTCTCCGGACTCCAAGGTTAAATCCTCGCCACTCTGGTTTCCAGGATGCTCTGCCCCATGGTGTTCGGGCCACGCTTGCCTGAGACATCCTCGCAACTCTGGGTTGCGAAATGCCCCGAGCTCAGGTGGTCAGGCCACTATCGCCTGCGACATCTCTGCGGCATGTGCGGGCATGTGCGTCTATGCTTTCCGAGTTTTGCTTGACCGTGCATTCGACTGTGCGTCGCACGGTGTGGCATATGCGCGCATGTGCGGAAATGCTGTTGAGGCTTTTGTATATTAGCATGGGGATGTGCATGCGATTGTGCGGCATGTGCCTGCATGTGCGGCCCTTTCCGGATTACGATTTCAAAGTGAACACTATAGAAGTGAGCGTTATAGAAGTGAGTCCAGTATGTGTGAGGAATAGCGTTAGGGGTGGTAGGGGCCAGGTTCCGGAAACCCGGGGCGCCGTGGCGAAAGGGTGGGAGGGGGGGGGGCTTCGAATTTGGCGGCCGAAAGGGGGGAAGGGGGGGGGTGTCGGACCCCCCCTTTATTGAAAGGGGGGGGGGCTCCCCGACGACGGACCGGGAAAGGGGGGGAGGGGGGGGGGTTCCCGACGACGGATCGGGAAAGGGAGGGAGGGGGGGGAGTCCCCGATGACGGATCGGGGAAAGGGAGGGAGGGGGAGGGGGATTTCGGCCCCCCCCCCCCCCCTCTTGGGGTTGCTCGTTGCTTGTTGCGTTGTTATTGTTGTTGCTGAATTCTCATATCTGAAGAATAATTATTGTTGATCCCCCCACCGGTGCATACTGTTTTTCTCAATAACAGTGAGTGTGCCCCTCGACGCTCGCCCCCCTTTTTTTGGACAGGGAAAGTCTTGATGCTCAAAGTGGGCCCTTCGCCCCCGGGTTACAACAACAACAACAACAACCACGGCTCCTGCTTGAGACTTCCTTACAATTTAGCCAGGACCCCCGCGCCCGCTCGAGACTTCCTCGCATTTTATTTAGGAATCGCGCTCTCGCTTGGGACTTCCTTACAATTTATTCAGGAATCGCTCTCCCGGCGGTCTGGAGTCACGCTCTCGCTGGAGATTTGCTTGCAGTTTACTGAAGAATGACCTTGCGTTGATCTTTGTTGCAATTGTTGACGCTTCGCCTATCCCCACCAGCCCATCCAGAAACGATGCCCAGGGGAGTTGAGGTGATCAGGGAAGTCGGGGAGCATGCAGAATAACAAAGGGCGGGGGAAGCTGTCACGTACCCCAAGAGGGGGAGGATGGAGAAGGAATCCTCGTCGGAAGGGGAGGGGGAGGAAGAGGAGGAGGAGGAGGAAAAGGAGGAGAATGAGGAGGAGGATGTGGAGTAGGGAGAGGACGAGGAGGACGAAAAAGAGGAGAAGGAGCAGAGGTAGGAGAAGGAGGAGAAGGAGGAGACGGAGGAGGAGGAAGAGGGGGATGAGAAATTGAAGAGGACGGCGAACCGAAGAGCCAGAAGCGTCTTAAATGCATTTCGGAGATCGTCTTGAGGCTTCTTGGGGGTCTCTTGGGAGCTCTTGGGCATCTTGTGGGGCCCTCTTGGGCCATCTTGGAGCCATCTTGAGGCCTTGGATGGCCATCGGAAGCGAAACGGGGAGAAAGCAAAAAACATTGATTTTCCTAAGGTTTTGGTACGATGTTGGTTTCTTCGGGGCCTCCTTGGGGAGCTCTTTGGCCACTTGGAGCCGTCTTGGGGCCGTCTTTGAGCCTCTTGGAACCATCTCAGGAGCCATCTCGAGCGATTTTGCGCTATCTTGAGCCATCTTGGAGCTCATCTTGGGCTCTCTGACGCGCTCTTGAAGCCATCTTGGGGCCAAAAGAGCCGTCCGACCGCTCGGGGAACCCCCCGTCCAGGTCCAGGGGAGGGGGCAGGGGGAGGGGTAAACCCCTCCCCAAGGGGGAAGAGGGAGGGGTGGAAGAGGATCTGTTCTAGACCACCTACGCCCAGAGGGCTGGTGGGATTTGCCCAAGTGCTGCGCTCCCGACACCCAGGCACCCAGGAGTCGCGCCCGTTGTGGCCCCAAGTGCATGCCCTTCGTGGCCCCGCTGTCGCCATTTGTGTCCCCCTCCCTCACTGTCCTACGTGGCCCAGTTGCTACCCTCAGTGGCCCCATGATTGCCTTCTGTGGCCCCGCATTATCTGCACTTCGTGGCCCCCGCTCGTTCGCGTTCTTCGTGGCCCCATACGCATTCCCTTCGTGTCCCCGCTGTCGCCCTTCGTGGCCTACTTCGTGCCCTTCGTGGCCCTGCTGTCGTTCTCTCTCGCTCTCGCTTTCGCTCGTCGTCGCCGTCGTCGTCGTCGCCGTCGCCTTCGACGTCGTCGTCGTCGTCGTCGTCGTGGTCGGTCCCCTGTCCGTCCCTCTTGGGGTCGGGTCGACGTCCGCGGCCGCCCCGCCGATCAGCGCTGCCGCTGGCCAGGCCGCCGGTCCGCGGCCGCCCCGCCGCTTGCCGGGGCCCGGCATGCAGAGAAGAAAGGTATACCCCCCAACAGGGGTTCGATCGAAGACGAAGAGGGCGGGTACCGAGAATTTTTGAGATACGCGTTATTGCACACTCGAGCATATAAGACGTCCGCGGCCGCCCCGCCGATCAGCGCTGCCGCTGGCCAGGCCGCCGGTCCGCGGCCGCCCCGCCGCTTGCTGGGGCCCGGCATGCAGAGAAGAAAGGTATACCCCCCAAAAGGGGTTCGATCGAAGACGAAGAGGGCGGGTACCGAGAATTTTTGAGATACGCGTTATTGCACACTCGAGCATATAAGGGCGAGCAGTCTTAAACTTATTATTATTGTTGTTCTTCTTCTTCCCACCCGCGACCCACCCCGCCACCCACCCCGCGACCCACCCCGCGACCCACCCCGCGACCTACCTCGCGACCCACCCGCGACCCACTCCGCGACCCACCCGCGACCCATCCCGCGACCCACCCGCGACCCACCTGTGACCCACCCGCGACTACTTTGCGACCCGCTTGCGACCCACCCCGCGACCCACCCGCGACCGATCCACATTGGCTTGACGAACAAATTCGGCGCCTGCGGCGGGCTCATTGCATTATTTGTGAAACTTTGGCGCCTGTGGCGAGCTTCTCCAGAGTCTCGCAGACTGCCGACGTTCCCACCGCAATCTCACCCTTATCCGCATCTGCAGGGTGCTACGTATTGTTGTGAATCGGGGACGGGTCTGGTGCGGGCCATGTCCCGTGCCTGGCCGCGTCAAGAAAGAGAGATGGTGATGGTGGCTTCTTGCGATGGAGCAGGCCTGAGACTAACGACTGCTTGGGCGCAGTTCTGCTGGTTTCAGATTGTCTTCGTGCCCCAGTCTCCGAGAAGATGCAGGGCCGTTGGCCACGACCAACCGCATGGAGGGGGTAGTACGTGAGTGGTGAAGGGGGTTGGCAGATGAGGGGGCGACGAGGGCATGGAACGGGCAGAAGGGAAATGGGGCGAGAGGCGGAGCCAGGAGTGGAGTCGACACGGGGGGCTGGCGCGCTAGCATGGACTAGGGATCATTGGATCTGGCACAGTTTCGCCAGATCCATGGATCGGGGAAGGTACCCCCCAAACATGAGGCCACTGCCGCAACATATGGCGATGGAGCCCGCCGATGTTGCGCGGAAGCGGAACCCGTTGGTAATCCATGCGTCGCTAATCTATGCTTGCACTTCCTCGAGTGGAGGAGCGGGCGAGGAGTCGGAGGAGCGGACGGCGAGGGGCGGAACCTGCGGGGGGGTCCTCCCTCCCTCTGTGCGGCAGGGCGGCCACGCGGAGGCGGCCGCGCTGGTGGCGCGCGCGGCGGGGTCGAGCAGCAGCGAGGCACAAGCAGGACGGAGCCGGCTTCAGGGGCAACGTTGGGGGGGATGGGCCCAGGGGCGAATGTCTCGATTCAGGGAGCTCTGGGGCTTGAGGTTTTTGGAGATGTCTGCCAGTGCTTCGCGGTGTTCCAACCTCGGGATGCGTTTCAGCAGCTGCGCCTCACCGAGCGCGTTCTGGGGGTGCCCGGATCGTCCCGAGCGGCCGTTAGAGAGCCGAATTGTGGCCCGAAAAGGGCATCGTTTGGGTCGTTGATAGGTCAGGGGCGACTGCATGGAGAACCCCGATCGCCGAACGGGGCCCGATAGTCCCACCCCGCCAAGCACCATGCGGATTCGCTATCGGGGCATTTCGCCGATCTACAGTCGATTTGATTAGCCTGCCTAAGCAAAAGTACCTTTGTGTCTTGTGTTTCGCGACCATGCCCTCGATGTTCCACTGGCAATGTGGCCATCGGAAGGGTCTCGTGTCCTCTCGTGTGTCCTCTCCAATCCACCCCGATTATTTCGGCAATGCATATTCGATTCCTGGTCGATGTTTCCCTCCGTAAGCCAGTACCCCTCGAAGAGGAAGCATGTGCACACAGTAGGTTCGTGTCGTGTCGACGCGGCTGCGGCGCCGCCGCGCGCGTTCAAGGCTGAGAGCCGCCGGTGTCCCAGAGTCGGCCAGTGACGGGACAATTTGGCGATCGATAAACTACTTATTAATCCTAGATGCTTCTCGTATCTCCACCAGCGTCCGTAGCCCTCTGGCTCAAGCCGCTCTGGCTCAAGCGGGCCTCAGCGGCTGGCCGGCTGTGGCCGGGCCTCCGCCCTTCGGTCCTCGGCCTCCCCGCCCGCGGGGGCGTGCGAGGGGTTCGCCCCCCTCCGCGCCCCCGCTCGCTCGGCCATGGTGTCGCGCTCGGCGCGGCGGCGGCGGCAGCGGCGCGCCGCCACTAGCTGCGCCGCCGCCGCGGCTGGCCCGGCCGGCCTGCTGCCGCCGTGGCCCGGCGTGGCCCCTGGCTGCCTCGGCGTGGCCGGCGGCGCCGCCACCGCGGCCGCCGCCGCCGCCGCCGCCGCGGCCGTGCGGCGGCCGGCCGCGGCGAGGCCGCCGCGGCCGCCGGCGCTGTGGCGCGCGCTGCCGCCCTGGAGCCTGCCGCGGCTGCCGCGGCCGCCAAGGGTGCGGCGGCCGCCGCAGTGGCCGCCGCGGCGCCGCCGCGCCCGCCGATGCGCCGATGCGCCCGCCGCGGCCGCCGTTGCCGCCGCCGCCGCCGGCCGCCTCGGGCGGGCCGCTGGCGGCGGCGGCCGTCGCCGCTGGCTTCACTGGTCGTGAAGCTGGCGCCCAACATCATCACCCACGTCATCCTGAACAGCTGGTGCGAGAAGGGCAGGCCCGGGCAGTGACAGCTGGCCGTGGCGCTGGTGGGCGAGATCCTGGTCGTGAAGTTGGAGCCCAACATCATCACGTACGGCACTGTGAACAGCGCGTGCGAGAGGAGCAGGCGTTGGCAGCGGCAACAGGTTGTGGCGCTGCTAATCGAGACCCCGGTCGTGAAGCTGAAGCCCATAATCATCAACTCTGGCACGGTGAACAGCGCGTGCGAGAAGAGCAGGCGTCGGCAGTGGCAGCAGGCAGTGCCGCTGCTGGGCGAGATGGTGGCCGCGAAGCTGGAGCCCACCATCATCACCAACGGCACTGCGAAGAGCGCGTGCGAGAAGAGCAGGCCGCAGCAGTGGTAGCTCGTTGCGGCGCTGCTGGGCGAGATTGTGGCCGCGAAGCTGGAGCCCAACATCATCACCTACGAGACTGTGAAGAGCGCGTGCGAGAAGAGCAAGCGTCAGCAGTGGCAGCAGGTTGTGGCGCTGCTGGGCGAGATTGTGGCCGTGAAGCTGGAGCCCAACATCATCGCCACCTACGTCACTGTGGACAGCGCGTGCGAGAAGAGCAGGCGTTGGCAGCGGCAGCAGTCTGCGGCGCTGTTGAGCAAGATCCTGGTCGTGAAGCTGGAGCCCCTTATCACCACCTTCTGCGCCGTGAACATCGCGTGCGAGAAGAGCAGGAGTCGGCAGCGGCAGCAGGTTATGGCGCTGCTGAGCGAGACCCAGGTCGCGTAGCTGGAGCCCAACATCATCACCTACGGCATCCTGAACAGGCCGTGCGAGCAAGGCGGACGCTGGCAGTGGCAGCAGGCAACGGCGCTGCTGAACGAGATCCTGTTCGCGAAGCTGGAGCCCAACATCACCGCGTACGTCACTGTGAACAGCGCGTGCGAGAGGAGCAGTCGACGGCAGCGGTTGCCGACTGTGGCGCTCTTGAGCGAGATGGCAGTCGTGCATCTGGAGCCCAACATCATCACCTTCTGCATCCTGAACAGCCGGTGCGAGAAGGGCGAGCGTTGGCAGTGACAGCAGGCAATGGCGATGCTGAGCGAGATGGTGGTCGTGCAGCTGGAGCCCAGGACAGCGGCGCACCAGATTGCACCCAAGAAGACGTTGCGCTCCCGAAGGTTCCTGCCGCTGCCCTGGCACAGATCGCGGCGCTTGGCCCTGACGCGAGAGAAGTCGATACTCACAGCGATATCTCGGAACATAGCAGCAGCAGCAGCAGCAACAACATACCACCCCCCGCCTCGTTGGCAGATGATGACGTCCCAGAGGGGAATCGAGAGGCGGTGGATGAGGCAGAGGAGGTCGTCGTCGATGAGGTTCAGGAGAGCTGCAGACGCCAGCAGCGCAGCAGCAGCAGCAACAGGGCTGCAGCAGCCGCAGCAGCCGCAGCAGCTGGGCAGCAGCAGCAGCAGCCGCAGCAGCAGGGCAGCAGCAACAGCTGCAGCAACTGCCGCAGCAGCAGCAGCAGTAACAGGACCCAGCAGCAGCTACAGCCGCAGCAGCAGGGCAGCAGCAGCAGCAACAGCACCCCGCTGGGGAAAGGAAATGAGGCAGAGGTCACGATACCACCCCCCTCATCGTTGTCAGACGAGGACGCCCCGTTGGGGAATCGAGAGGCGGTAGCTTGCAGTGATCAGCGCGCAGCTCGCACTAACAACCCCCCCTTCAGCAGCACCAGCAGGGCAGAGGAAAGGAGTGGGGGGCCACGGCGGAGACGGCGGAGGCTGCGGAAGCCGCGGAATATCCCCCTCAGAGCAATCAGTCCGTCAGCAGTCCTCTGGGAGCGCCACGCACCCAGCAGGGGGGGCGCGGAACAGCCATCCAGACATCCAGACGCAGGACAGCGAAGCCATCCGCTGGCTCGTCGGGAGAAACCCCTTCCCAGACATCCTCCGTCATGATTTTTTCAGGGCGCCTTCGACGCTCTGATTTTTCGAGAACGTCATGATTTTGAGTGGATGTTCTGATTTTTTTCAGGGCGTCCTGAATTTTCGCAAGATGCCCTGATTTTTTTGTTATGTCATGATTTTTCGCAGGATGCCCTGAATTTTTGTTTGGTGTCCTGATTTGTTCCTGGATGTCCTGATTTTTTTCCGAATGCCCTGATTTTTCGTGGTGTGTCCTGATTTGCCTCGATGTTACTTCACAGCGCAAGATAACATATTTACTTTTAACATCGCTTCCGCGCGCGAGGGTGACCTTGGTCACCCGCGGTACTATAGTGCGCAAAATTCAAAGCTTGAATTACGCATGGTGTTTTGCGTGGCAGGCGTGCGCGCGTCACCCGCGGCGCGCGTTCGCCAGGCATGTTCAGTTGCCCATTGCGTTCAAACTTGAAGATCGCTTTCGCACGCGTGCGCGCGTCACCCGTGTTCGCGCGCGCGGCGCGCCAGCCGCGGCTGGCGCGTGGCATGTTGGCTTGGCATCTACCCTAGCGCGCGTTTTCAACATGCGCGCGTGTGTCTACATGTGCTTAGCTTTTTCAGCGGAAGAGGTTCGCTCTCGCCCTGCAAATCAGTGTCTACACGTCTTATCAAAAAAGTGGGGAATGGAGTGGGCTACAGTTCAAGGGATCCCCCCTCCCTCCTCCCCGTTCTCCCCTTCCCCCTCGCGGACTTCCTCCCGTGTGGATGGAAGCGGACTTCCCCCCTCCCTCCTCCCCTTCCTTTCTCCCTCATCGATCCTTATTCCTCTCATGGGTTATCTTGCGGCCCCCGTCGGTCGTGCCGCCCATGAGGTATGCGCTCGATCGTCGGCCCTGCCCTCGCCGCCCGTCGCCAATCGGGTCGAACGCGGAGGGGCCCCTGGCCTGCATGTTTTTTTCGTGGCCGCGGCGCCATGACAGACAGCGCTGGTGCCCCTGCGCCTTCGCCCCCGTCGGGGGCGAAAACGATGGCGAGGCACCAGCGCACAGCAAAGGTTCCAATTAAGTTGGTCGCGGGGGCCCTGGCGAACATCGCGGAGGAGTGGCCGACATTGAAAGAAGGCTTTCTGGGGAAACCAGGGAAACCAACTATGACGCCCCGAGGTCAACGACTCAAGTAAGGAAGACGCCTACCCCACGTCTTCCTTACTTGGATCGCTGGCCTCGGGCGTCCACGTTCTGAACTGCGCGAGCGCCCGCATGAGGGGTGCCCGACTTCCAGTATACTGTGCTGAAGTTCGACTACCGTCCCAAGATGGCGGAGATCGAGGCCTTATCGGGGGGCAGCAGGCAGGAAGGAGTGAGGCAGTAAGAGTGGATACGTTTGCAAAGGAGGGGGAAGGTGAAGGAAGGACAGAAAGCAGGACGGCAATAATGGAGGGAACGGAAACGCGGAAAGGAAGGGAGGGAAGGAGGGAGGGAAGGAGGGAGGGACGAAGGGAATTAATGAGGGAATGATGTATGAAGGGAGGACGCTCGAGGAGGTGCAGTGATAATTATAACATGGTGGTCATGCCGTTCTTGTATACAAGAACGGCATGACCACCATGTTATAACATGAACTGGTGCATGTTCGTCTTCCTCCAAGCCCCTGTTGCCAGGTCTTCGCCCAATTGATGCATGAGCTGAACAGTCTGGGAGAGGGCCTCCGCTACAGCCAGAAGCTGATGATGGCTGCTGGGGGGGGGGGGGGGGGGATCAGGGGGCGACGACGAAGATGAT